GCGGGGACCGCGGAGGCCGGCCGGGCGGGGACAGCCCGCCAGCCACGCCCTCACCCGCCGGGTCCGGCTCTCCGTGGTTGCCCTCGCTAGGCCGACCTGGAGAGGCTGCGCGCCCCGCTGGAGCTCGCAGGGGAGCGCAGAGGTGACTGTGTTCCCCACTCGGGGTCAGTGGGCTGCGCGGCGAGAGGCCCACGGTCCTGGTTTCCCGGGCCCTGGTGTCTCTTAGCAACGTGCCCCAGCCGCCGGCTCACAGGCCCCGCCCCCCACTTGTCTGCGCGCGCAAGCGCGAGGGTGGGGCCCGGCTGCCCACGCGGAGGAGGACCCCCGCTGGTCCCAGCGGGGGAGGGAGCCGTGGAAGGCTGTCCCTAGGAAGAGGTGGAGAGGGAGACGTGTTTGCTGCGGCTTCAAACGCAGAGGGCATGCCCTAAAAAAGTGGATCAGAAGACAGAGACTGTGGGTGATTCCGGGCCCTGAGAGTAAATACCTCCCGCCTGTCCTGCCTCCCTTCTCATTTTATTGGGATTAAATGAACCAGACCATGGGATCGTTCATAATTCCTGACAATTAGTAAACCTACAATAAAAGACGATCTACAGCTTTATTTTTCTCTGACATTACCTTCATTATTATATTTAAAATAATCTGTTTACTTACATCTTCCAAATTTATTTCCTCAGATTTCCAGATCCCTCTCTGAGCTCTATATTTGTATATCCAAAATCCACTTGGTTGTCCACACCCCCCTCCAAACACCCACACCCTCACGCCTGCTCCTTCCACAGCCTTCCCCTTTCAGTAGTTCACACTTTCTCTTACCCTCCATATCCATCCATCAGCAAAGTCTGTTGGTCTTTTTGTTTTTCATATCCTCACTGGAAGATATGCTTATTGACTTGAGAGAGAGAGGGAAAAAGGTTGATGTGAGAGAGAAACACCACTTAGTTGCTTCTTGTATGCACCTGGGGATCGAACCTGCAACCTAGGTATGTGCCCTGACTGGGAATTGAACCCATAACCTTTTGGTGCACAGGACAACACTCCACAACCAACCGAGTCACCCGGTCAGGGCAAAAACATTGACTTTACTGCTGCCACCCAAGTCCAAGGCACCATCATTTTATCCCTTATGGCTATTGCAAGAGCCCTCAACAGGTCTCTCATGATCCCCATAGCCTATGCTCAATACAACAATCAGTGAGATTTATTGAAAACATGTCAGATTAGGTCACTTCTCTGCTCACAATCCTGCTATGGCTCTCCACTTTAGGAGTAAAAACCAGAGTCCTTTCAAGGCCAATAAAGCTTTACAAGACTGGCACACAGCCCCTGCTTCCTTGCTCCATGGCCTCGCCTCGATCACTCCTCTCCAGCCATACGGGCCTGCTGGCCGTGCTGCCCACATTGTAGCTCCCACACTGCGGCCTTATTTGTAGCCGCTTCGTTTCCCCCAGGGGCCTTCCCCCTGTTATCCCTTTGGCTAAGGCCTCATCTTCAAGTCTTTGTTAATATCTCAACTTGCCCCTCCCTCTCTCTCCCTCCCATCATGCTCTCTATCCTCCTTACCATGTTCTAGTGTTTCTTTTTTCCATAGCACTTGTCATCTAATATACTATTTAAGTTGCTCATTTTCTAATTTTGTTTTTATTTTCTGCTGGAATGTAATTCCATAAACACAGAGCTCTTATTAACAAAACTCCTAGAACAGTGCCTAGTACACAGTAGGTGCTAAAGCAATACATATTAAATGAATATCTTTTACCACCACCGCCACTACCATCCCCACCAATGTCACTATGGCACAGTAGAAGCAGTATACCATGGTGCCTAGGAGTGTGGTGTCTAAGGCGTGACCTTAGATTTGAATCTCAGTTCTAACACTAGCAACATAACCTTCTTAAGTTAGTTAACTGCAGTTTTCTTATCTGTAAAGTGAAGACAAAAACTGTACCCATCTGATGGAGTTGTTGTGAGAATGAAATAATATAAACCATTTAGACAGCATTTGGAACTACATAAATGATAGGTATTATCTCCACTAAAACATGCACTCATTACCACATGTGTTTTTTCCTGCTTTGATCACTGCTGTATCTGTAGTGTCTAGAACAGTATCTGGCACATAATAGATGGTCAGGTACTCTTTGTTGAATGGATCAGTGAATCCACACCATTACATTTCTTGGTGTATTGTGGCACCTTCCTACCAGACTCGCTGCCCCAGACTGCCTGGGTGTTCTTTCTAAACTCGACTCCAGTGGTTCTCAAATTTTATGACCTATCAGAATCTCCTGGAGGGTGTGTTAAAACAGATTGCTGGGCCCCATACCCAGACTTTCTGATTTAGTAGGTCTTGGCTGGGGTGGAGAATTTTTATTTCCCTAATACTATTGGTGATGCTCTTCCTGGGTCCACACTTTAAGAAATACTGTTCTGATTTAACATGTCACTCCCTTGTTTCAAACTACCCAGTGTGCTCAGTGCCACTCAAGTTAAAGTTTAAACTCTTTGGCTTCGTATACAGGCTCTCATGGTCTGGTCCCTTCTTATCTGGTTTAGCCTTGACTACCCTTGTTAAGTCTCTCTTATTTCACCTCTTTTGAGCCCAACACTTTGGTTATAAAGAACTATTTTCAGTGCTCAGACTGAATGAAAGTTCATTCCGGGGACTTCCACTGTTCTAGGGCCTGGATGCTGAACTCAGATTCACCTTTTCTGCTCAGTTTCACTGATGGCCCCTTTCTTCTTGCAGAATTGAGTTCTTTCCTGGGTCTCCACACCGCACCTTGAGCACATTTCCATTAGAGTATTATAAAACTTTTTTCCAGGGTTTCTTTTTATGCCAGATTGTGAGCCTGGCAGAAATTGATATGCCATGGCTGATTCTTTATGTATTTCCAGGTTCAAGCACAGTGCCTGGCATTTAGTAGATGCCCAGTAAATAATAATAGTTAATATCTATTGAACACTTACCATTTTCCAGGGCTTTGAAAAGCTCTTATTCCTTCTTTCCTTATTTCCTTCCTTCCTTTTACCCTTCCTTTTCCCCTTTAATCAGAGGGTTGAGGGTAGAAAGTGAAAAGAGGTAAAGGTGGTGGAAGATATATGTAACTAATGCAAAATAAGCATACATTGTGATTTTTTAAAAACCACCTTCTATTATGTGAGTTACCCTCATATATCTTCTTTTTAAAAAAAACAAGTATCAAGGTGATTGTTTATTTTTAATTCCCACCCGAGGATATTTTTTCCGTTGCTTTTCAGAGAGAGTGGAAGGGGGGGAGAGAGAGAGAGAAGGAGAGAGAAACATTGATGTGATAGAGACACATCGACTGGTTGCCTCCCTAATGAGCACCAACTGGGGCCAGGGATCAAGCCTGCAACCATGGTATGTGTCCCTGGCCAGAATCGAACCCGGGACTTTTCAGTCTGCAGGCAGGCTAACACTCTAATCACTGAGCCAAACCGGCCAGGACCACATATGTCTTCTTCTTCTTCTTTTTTTTAGAAATATATATGTATATATTTTTATTGATTTCAGAGAAAGGAAGGGAGAGGGAGAGAGAGAAAAACATCAATGATGAGAGAGTCATTGATTGGCTGCCTCCTGCATGCCCCCTGCTGGGCATTGAGCCCGAAACCCAGGCATGTCCACTGCCTGGGAATCNGAGTCATTGATTGGCTGCCTCCTGCATGCCCCCTGCTGGGCATCGAGCCCGAAACCCAGGCATGTCCACTGCCTGGGAATCGAACGGTGATCTCCTGGATCATATGTCGATGCTCAACTGCTGAGCAACACTAGCCAGGCCACATATGTCTTCTTAATCCATCAGCTCCTATAAAGAAAGGGTAGCCTTGCCAATCTCATTTACTTTGTTGCCATTCTCCCATACACTATGCAAACATTTTCTTACAAACCTATTGATCTACAATTGAAATCTAAAAAACAGCACATATTTAACAGCATATAATTTGGTAAGTTTTGAGATATGTGTACACCTGTGAAACCATCACCACATTCAAGAACTTGCTTACTTGTGCCCTCAGACAACTGCTGATTTGCTTTATGTCACTTTTGATCATCTCACATTTTCTATAATGTTATATAAATGGAATAATACCAAATGTACTCTTCTTTTACGTGGCTTCTTTCATTCAGCATAATTATTTTGAGATTCATCCATGTTGTTTTGTTGCATCAGCAACTCATTCCTTTCCTCCCAGCTTTGAAATATAATTAACAGATAATATGGTATCAATTTAAGGTATACAACACAATGACTTGATGTATGTATATACAGCCAAATGATTACCACAGTAAGTTTAGTTAACACCCATCAACTCACATAGTTAGAATTGTTTTCTTGCAATGAGGACTTTTAAGGTTTACTTTCTCAGCAACTCTCAAATATGTAATTCAGTATTATCAACCATAGTCACCAGGCTGTGCATTACATCTCCAAAAATTCTTCATTTTGTAAGTGGAAGTTAGTACATTTTGACCACCTTCACCCATTTCTCCCACACCCCACTGACAGCCTTCAATCTGTTCTCCATTTTACAGATGAGAAAACTGAGTTGTAAGAAGTTTAACTTAGCCAAGATCACACAAATTGTAGTGGGCCTCCAAAATCCAGTGACTAGACTCTTAGACCTGAGCTACCTATTTTGAAATGTTAACTTGAATGAATCCATACATTTCTCTGCTAGTTCTAAGCCAAATATCCTCTCAACTTCTTCCAAAACAGAAATCAGAATATAGGGGAGGAAAAAAATCACAAAGCTGAAGATAAGCTCTCTGCCCTGAAATCATATAATTTAGTACATCTTGAATTTTAAAATTGTTAACCCTTAGTGGTAAATATAGTACCTTGTTTTTATTTTAAAAACTTATTAAAATACATATTGTGTACATTATTTTACATTGTTATGGGTTAAATTGTTCTTCCCCTCCCCAATCCTCAGTACTTCAGAATATGACTTTACTTGGAAGTAGGGTTGTTGCAGATGTAACTAGTTAAGATGAGTTATACTGGAATAGGGTGGGCCCCAATCCTAATTATAATGGCTAGTGTCCTTATAATACAGGGAAATTTGGACACAGACATAGTTATGGACTAAATGGTGTCCCCTTATAA